AATTAAGTGTACTACAAATTTGTATTCAGAAAGAATAAACCAGTTTTATTTAATAAAGGAGTTGTATCCCTAAAATTTCTTCAGAAAGAAATTATACGGAAAATTGGCTAACGACTGGAGGCGTAACACTATATTTACTTCCAGTGGGTTCTTCAACATCATGAACCATCACCAAGTCATTAAAAATTATTTTCAGCCTGGTATCTCGGGGGATTACAGGGACAAAATGATATCAAGTTTTGAAAAATTACATGTAATGTACCCTTTCAAATTTCATCCAAAATAAAATTATAACTGAAATGTTAAGATTTTAAATTTTCTCTTGATGTAAGCTTTATTAACATTTATTTTGGACGAAGTAATTAAAAAAAATCGAAATTGCTAGCCCTAATTTACGGTTTCTACCCCTAATGTAATTATTATTGAGATGATGGAATTAATTAACTTTCTGCACTGACGAAACTGATCCGTAATTCTATAAACTTTGCACTGGGTTTGGGTATATTTTTAACTCAAATAGTTTAAAATAACGAATTTATGAAATCGGTGATGTCAAGTACTGTAAAATTCACGTATCATGTTTTGTTTTACAAACTTTAACTTCTGAAGATGAAAAAATTGTAAATATATCGACTGTAACCAGGTGTTATTTTCTTTCTCATAATCTATTTGCCACAGAGCACTCTTTCTTACTTGTGTAGTTACACTGGATTGTAAAGTTGTAAAAATTTATATTGATGTTGTAACCTGTTCCATCGGTGAACGGGTTCTTTTGGATTATTAGAAATAATACTCCAGTCCACGTAACGATAATGAAGTATTTTTTTTTTTAGAATAATGTTTTCTACAGGCTGCATTTACTTTGACGCAAGTTATGGGCCTAAGTTTACAAACAAACTTTACAACATAAACTGTGAAAGTGCCGTAGGCCTAATGCAGTAATAGTAATAACATTTAATATAGATTTTCTTGATTGATAACAAATTCTGGCTTACTTACTGGTTAGCCTAAAGAAGCATTAACTTTTATTAGCTATCCTTACTCGACCAATATTCTTTCAGTCAACAACTACTATCATATTCTTCCATTCTGAATACTTCACTTATTAACTGACTATTTACTAGTATTTATAACTATTGTACCAATGTATTTATTATGTCTAGATATTAGTTGAAATTACAAGATTCTTGACGTCATCGTGAACTTTCTAGGACTACTTTATGAACTTATTTGATCTCTTAGAGTTGTATTTTGAACAGTATAAAGCGCGCACTTCTGGGGAATTCAAGATGGTGTCTAAATGGGGAAACGAAGCGAGAAACGTAAACAAACATGTGTGTGCAACAGCACAATAAAATTGCCGCATATCTCATCTTGAATTTCATTGTCGCCCCCAGTGGCACAGTGGTATGTCTGCGGATTTATACTGCTAGAAACTGGGTTTCGATACCCGTGGTGGGCAGAGCACAGATAGCCCATTGTATACAAACAAAGAAGTAAACAAACTCTTGGATAGCGACTTGTGGGAAACAAAAGACAGATATGAAATGTTATGTTTATACACCTTTAATTTTAAGCCTTAAATAGGCAAGCTAAGAAGAATATTGAAAAAGAAAAAAAAAGCATTTGCAGTGTACGTGATTTTTATCACAAAATAATATATATATATTATGCAACATTTCGGGCAGCATCAGGAAGTATATACCGATAACCTAGGAATTATACGAACCAATAAATGAAGCGAAAGCAAAGGAGAATATTGTTACGTCTCCGGTTGTTAATTGATTTTTCCGTACTTCGTTCCCACGAAATTTTAACGACACAAGTCTTTAC